AGGGTATGAAAACATAAACTAGAGTATATTTATACAATGCAATATTTTATAAGAATTAAGTAACTTTAAACCTACTAACATGGAAGGATCCATTAATACACTACTACTACTAGGTGGAATAAGTTAAGCTGCAGACCATGTACATATGACCCCATCGTTATACCCTCCTCAAAAAATACACACACAAAAAAAAAAAACCCTCTATATACTTAAAAATATATATTTATTTGCTTATTTAAATAAGTATAAAAAAGGTCAAAAGGATTGTATCAAAGTACTAATGGTGATTTTTAAGTGATCAAAGGAGGTGAGGAAATACATTAAGTATCTAAATATATAGTCTGAACTTATTACAGATATTTTTAAATGCTTATTTTTTAAAGGCTCCCCATCATTTCCTAAGTTACAGTGTGTCCTGAAAAAAGTAAACAGCTATTCTGATCATTGGACCACAGAATTCATTCTCTTCCCTATGAAGTAAAATTATAATTTTAACCATTACCGTTAAATGATACCTCCTTAAAAATATCCTTCAATGTAGCACTGGTTCTCCTGCATTGATTCTGATATAAAGAAACCAAAAACTTACATTGTTCTGGCCAAAGATCTGGTGAGGCACGATCAAGTTTTTCAAAACTTAATAAAGATGCTTCCAGATCCGTCCCTAGAAGAAAATACCCAGATGAGCCAAGAAGACACAAAACATGTTTGTTTACATTTTAAAACATTTCAGTCTTAAAGAACAGAACATACTAGAACTTTCACCTGGAAGTCTAGATACTGAGTTCTATAACTGCAATTAAATGTAAAAATGAATCATTTTCCCTCACTTTTCTGATAGCTAATGTTTTAGTGGGGTGTCAGAAAAAATGAATATCAGCAAACGCACCTGCACCTTACTCATACTCTAAGACTTTCCTCCAGTTACAATCAAGTGTCCCTGCTCTCAAGACAAACTCCTCTGCTAGGGTTCTGAATTCCATCTTCTCTTGCTGTCAAAGATATCATGAGTAATAATATCTTTCTTGCACAATCAGTTTCTACCATCTCTACTGCTTCATACTCAACAGCAAGCAAGCCTGTGCTAGAATTGCCCTTCTTTGAAAAAGCTTTTCACTCCTCAAACTGTTGTCAAGGTTATCTTTGACCTCTGTTGCTAAATCCAGGGGTCACTTCTCAGTTCACTGCTTTGTGACCTCCTTGCAGCTTTCACACACTGACCACGCTCCTTGAAACACTTGACCTCCAGCTTCTATGCTATACCACTATGCTGGTTCTTCTCCTTCCTTGCTGACCCCTTTTCCTCAGCCTTCTCTCTCACTGAGGCCCCATCCTAAACTGGCTTCACTCTCCACACCTAAAGTCTCATGAGAAGATCTCATCTAGTCTAATAGCCTTTACCGTGCCAAAGACTCCACATTTATATTTCCAGTCCCAATCTTTCCCTGAACTTCAGTTATGTATCTAATACTTGATATCTGTCTCCATTGACACATGTGAAAAATCCCTTAATTCTAATATGTTCAAAACCATACTCTCCTAGGCCTCTATGTCTCAAGAAATAACACTACCACAAACCCCAGTTCTCAAAAACCCAGATGCCATCCATTCTTTATGCCTCTTTCCTTCGCCCTTCCATAACCAACCATTAGTAAATCCACTAATTACTATCTCCAAAATACACCCGAAAACCAAATTAATTAACCAAGAAACCATGATTTCTCTCCCAAACGACTTCAATAACCTCTTAACAGGTGTCCCTTTTCCCATTCTTATCCCTTCTTCTCCCTACCCCCAAATCTATTCTCCACAAAGCAGCCAGAATTAATTTTTTAAAAGTCAATTAGTTCATGGCACTCTTCAACTTAAATGACCTTATGAAAACCACACTTGTGGGCATAACTCAGCATCTGCTGTGAAGTTTACTCTCATATATTAAGTAATTAGATGGCCTTACTTGATTTCAGCTTTCTCCTTTTCAAAAAAGTCCCAGCAAATTTAGCATTAAAAAGACAAATGAGGTCCTAGCTGGGTATCTCAGTTCGTTAGAGTAATGTCCAGAGACGCCAAAGTTTCAATCCCTAAGCCAGGGAACGTATAAGATTCAACAAATGAATACATAAATAAGTGGAACAACAAATTAATGTTTTTCTATCTCTCACTCTTTTCCATCCTGCCCTCTCTGAAATCACTCAAATAAAAAAAGAAAAATGAGTAAATGACCTAATCTTTTTCAAATCAACATTATTTGAATTAAATTTTAAAGACAAGAACAGATAGAACATTAAAAATAGAAGTGAAAGAGCGAGGCAATGGGATATTTTAGGATTATATGCTTATTTAGAAACTGAATTTAAGTTCAAAGTGCTCCACTTGATTTTGTCAGATTAAAAAAAAAAAAGATTAGGTGGAGAAGTGAAACTTTGTAAAAGATGAAACTGAAAACTTTTACAAATAAAGAGTGCAAAGAGTAGCAATGGAGATGGCTAGAAGATCAAAGGAAGAAATACATGTTTCCAATACTCTTCCTGGTTAAAAAAAGGGGGTGGGAGGGGAAATGAGAGAAAACTGGGCAAAATCAAATACAAGGAATACAGCTCAAAACCTCCAAAACTTAGAAACCTAAAAAATAACCTCATAATAAACTAAAATTTTAACAGAAATTACTTCTTCTATCACTTGGCTTTTTAAAAAACTGTGATAAAATATACATAATGAAATTTACCATTTTAACCATTTGTAAGTGTACAGTTCAGTGGCATTAAGTACATTCACAATGTTGTGCAACCATTATCACAATCCATTCCAGAACCTTTTCACCTTCTCAAACTGAAACTTAGTGCCCATTCCTTTTCTCTTGGATGACTATTTAAATGTCACCCCCACTCGTTTCTTTTTCCTGGCAAGAGAAGAACATTTTACCCAGAGGGTATCCAGGCAAGGGAAGGAATCTGTTGACTCTGAATCCATAATTTCTCTTCTTTTTTAAAAAATATATATTTTTTACTGATTTCAGAGAGGAAGGGAGAGATAGAAACATCAATGATGAGAATCATTGACTGCCTCTTGCATGTCCCACACTGGGGATCCAGCCCACAACCCGGGCATGTGCCCTGACCAGGAATCGAACCCTGACCTCTCGGTTCATAGGTGGATGCTCAACCACTTAACCACCCTGGCCGCGACGAACACCCATAATTTCTTACAGTTTACCCGCACTCAAAAAACTTAAGTCTCAAAAAAAAAACAAAAAACTTAATTCTCGGTTTAACTTGAAACTTCAGCCAAAGTAACATTCTTTCAACTACGAACAAGACAGAGCTAGAATGTATAGTCCTGTGTGAAAGCGGCAAAGCGAACAGAATAACTATGCTGACAGTGAAGGCACTGAGATAGTGAGCGATGGTGAAGAGGGGCGTATCCGGATGCTACGCTCTGGGAAAGCCTCTCTGGGAGGTGACATCTGAAATAAGAGCTGAAACTGCAAGAATTTACGTGTCTGGTTAATCTTTTCCTCTCCCAAAGCGCCTAGCATTATGCCCTACACGTGTAGTCTGTATAGGGCTCTTGGCCTCAATTTCCTCATTCCTGAGATGAACTGCCAAGATTCCTTCCGAACACAAAATGTGTTGGTTTGAGGAGGGGTCCTCTACCTATCCGTGAAATGGACGTGGGGGCGGGGGCAGTAGAAGCAAAAATTGCGTGCAGGGATGACTGCAAGCCCCTAGGTCTCCAAAGCAGGACCGAGCGCAAAAGCACAAGGGCATACCAACATAACCCAGCTGCTTAGATGGCTTGCACCTTAAACAATATACAAGCAGACATCGTCCGCAAAGCCTGAGGAAACATACAGCGGAAGCGAGAGAGGCTGCTGAGTTGTGTACAAAGCTATACTAAAAAGCCCAATTCTCCTTTTCCTGGGGACTCGCTGGGCGAGGGGCCGGGCAGGTGCCCCGTTCCTCCAGCTGCCAGGACCACGGTACCAGTCTGGGGAGAAAGAGGATGAGGCCAGCCACCAATCCCAGCCACGGTGGGCGAGAACAGTTCCTGGCGATCAGAGATGAGAGAGCCAGCCCTTGCCCAGAAGGAGAAAGCTACAACGAGGCACCCCATTTCCCCCAGCTGTATCTCCTCCGCCGCCCTCAGTGAAGCTGAGGCTGAGGGAGCGGCGGGGGCCCGGGATGGGTCTCTCTCTCTCTCTCTCGCGGGTGCCCCCTCCACCCGTCGGGTACCCGGCGGGGAAACTGAGCTCCTCCGGAGCCCCTGTGAAGAATCGGCGCGCTGAAAACGCACCCGCATCCCAAGGAAGAGAAGCGGAAGGGGGAAAGAGAGAGGAGCCAGGGTTCGACCGGCAGACGGCGAGCGGAAGCTGCCGGGGGAGCGAGCAGGCGGAGGATCTCTAAAGCCGGCTCTTACCCTCGGTGGGAGACGCCATCTTCCAACCCATGTCACGTGACGCGGCCAACCGTCGGCGGGAAAGCTGGGACCCACAAGCCACGCCCCCCGAGAAGAAACCCTATCCCCCGATCCCAGGCCCCACCCCCTGGCCCCATATAGGGAAATATTTGCCTAACCCCGCCCCTACTGGCCACGCCCCCTCACGCCCTGGAGGGGGTGGGGCGCCTGCAAATTCTAGGAAGGCTTTATTTACTTCCTCCGCGAGGGGGCGGGGCCGCGGCCGTCCCTGTGGCCAATCAGGGCTCCCTGTGAAGGGGCGTCTTCCCGGCGTGCTGAAGGTAAGAGCACCCCAGTGAGGGGCGTCTCCCCGACCTCTGCCAACAGGATTGGCTGAGGTGAGAAAGGGGAGAGAGCGCTTTCACTTCTGACCAATCGCCTGTGCCCAAAGCCGGGCATGGGGGGTGGAGTCAGGAGCTAGGGCGTGTGATTGGCCGAGGGGAATGGTCCTCTCCACCAATGAAGAGGCGCGGCAGGATGAAGGGCGAAGTCTGGCAGCTGCAGGTCTGCTAGGGGAGTCACGGGGAGTAGAGGCACCGGGAACCATGGCGGCGGTAGTGGCGGCGGCGGCTGTGCGGGCTCGGATCCTGCAGGCGAGTGAGGGTGGGCGGACGCGGGGTCGTGAAGCTAGGAGTTGGGTCATTTCCGTCCGCTTGAGTCAGCCCCGTCCTGGCCGACCCTGCTGTTCCCGCAAGACCTGTCCGGCCCTGTACCCCCACCCCAACCCCCCACCCCCACGCTACAGGTCTGTCCTCGTAGGATCCAGCCCCGGACGATCGCTCCTGCCCCTCCCACTCTTGCACGTTTGAGCCTCCCCTGGTGCGGCTCTGGCCCGCTCTCCTCCTCCAGCCGTGCCCCATTGCTGCTGTCACATCTCTTGCACTCACCTCTCCTTGGTCCTCTCACATTCGCTCCCCTTCACCTCTGTACCTGCCACCTCGCTCCCAGGAAACTCCCCTCTGGTCACCTTTTTTTAAAGCATTTTCACCTTCCCGGAGCGTCCAGATTGTTTCCTCCCCCCACCCTGCTTCCCAGTCTACAATCCGAGCTCCAGGGGGTGGGGAGGAGGAGGCACTGAGGGGCGAGGGTCAGTGGGTGAACTTTGAATCTGCTTCTGAAGTGTACACCTTACTAGGTTTCCCCCCAAAGCAGCCATTTGCTGTTTTCCCCAGCCGTGGCCATTTGCTTTTCCATAGCCCTGGGCCGTCCCCTTGCTTGCCAAGACTTTGTTAAAAACTTTTCAGCAGAGTTACAGTGTTCCTATTGGCGGTAAATAAGAACACATTTATGCTACTGTTTGTCCCAAGCACGTGCAAGGGACTAAACATCTCTGAAACAGGTGAGGGAAAACGGGAGCTAAGGAACACTCGAAGTGTAAGTTCCAAGTTCCTGCTCCTAAGTCAGTTTTTAGGGGGCCAGTGCACCCTCAGCATTGCCCATGTAGTGGGACTGGGGTTTGCGGGGGGAAGGGTGGGAGGGACTGGTCCTAGGAAGCCAGACTGAGAGGTGGTAGAGCTACAGGAACTGATGCCTGAGGCCTGTGACCTCCAACTCTCTTCACAGCCTTTCCCTTCTTGTTCATAGCTTAGCAAGGGCTTAGAATATGAGGCAGGATTTACTGCAGACAACATTGCCCCCTCTCTTACTCATCACCTCCAGTCTGGGGATTTGTTCCTTTATATTACTGGTCTTTTACATAATACTGGTATTTACCACTTTTTAGTGAATCCTACTGCAGAAACGTAATCATTTTTAAGATTCTTAGCAGAGTCAGCAAAGGTTTATGTTTCAATATGCTATTTAATGGGAAATTGTGGAGAATGGATTGGGAGGGTTTGTCAGATGACCTAGCTTCACTTGTATATTTTTAAAAATATATATATTTTATTGATTTTATACAGAGAGGAAGAGAGAGAGATAGAGATCTAGAAACGTTGATGAGAGAGAAACATCGACCAGCTGCCTCCCGCACACCCCCTACCAGGGATGTGCCCTGACCGGAATCGAACCTGGGTGTATATTTTTACTGTGATCCAAGTGTTGTTGGTTTTTGTTTTTTGTTTTTCTAGTATCCTTTTTCAGTAGTAGGAAGGGGAAATTTCCACCCTGTGTTTTCCAGTTCTCCTTGAAATCTTTTAATGAAATTTACTTTTTTCCTTTGCCTCTTTCTCCTCCCTTCAATCACAATGAATCATTAAGAAGAGCCTCTTAGCCCTAAACAGCTGCTCAGTGATTAGAGCTTCAGCCCTGGGACTGAAGGGTTTCGAGTTCGATTCCCCATAAAGGGCACAACCAATCGATGTGTCTCTCTCGTCATTGTTTTTCTCTCTGTCTCTCTCTGTCTCTCTCTCTCTCCCCCTCCTTCCTCCTTTCCATTTTCTCTAGAAATCAATGGAAAAAATGTCCATGGGTGAGGATTAAAAAAAAAAAAAATAGAGAAAGATTCTTAAGAGGGTACTGTAAGGTCCCAGCTGAGAGGTTTGCGACGCAGAAGCAAGACACGGAATCCAGGCGATTAAAAGGGAGGAGGTTTTAATCTGCGCTCCCCGAGGGTGGGCCAGGGAAGTTGGCGCCAAAAGGCGGTATAGGTAGTACTTCTTTTATACAGCTGTTTAGGGAGGAGTGAGTGGAGGGCATGAGAGGTGTGGAATTCCTGTCTCTGGCCAGGGTTCTAGGAAGGCCCTAGGAAGGCATCAGCTAGCCAGCTATCTTTGTCACCATCCACCTTGCAGATGCTTGTGTCGGCTCTGGGCTTCCCCCCAGCCTAGACCTAACAGGTACTATATTTTGTCTTTTGCATCAAGGTGAAGAACCTCCCTCCCCATGCACTTTATTTTGGAAATACACTATTTCCTTAGTCATTTGGAGAAACTTCTGAGTTTAGAACAGAAATAGTAGTCCTTAGCTAACTAGTAGTTACTGTAACATGAAACTTTGATAAAGAGCAGCCTAGATTCCGGCAGTCATGAACATTCGAGGACTATAGCCCTAGCCAGTTTGGCTCAGTGGATGGAGCGTTGGCCTGTGGACTTAAGGGTCCCAGGTTGATTCCAGTCAAGGACATGTACCTCGGTTACAGGCTCCTCCCCAGCCAAGTCCTGTTTGGGGCTCATGCAAGAGGCAACCAGTCAATGTATTTCTCTCACATCTATATTTCTCTCTGTCTTTCCCACTCTCTTCCACTCCAAAAATCAATGGAAAAATAGCCTCAAGTGAGGATTAAAAAAAAATTAGAGGACTATTAAAATGACGTGTAAAAGAGAGTTCATATTTTCAGTTATTTAAATACATATTCAGCGTAACATCTCTGTTATTGTTGTTAGTAAAATTTAGAACTTCTGCTTCTTGTGGTATTATGAATCCCATTCAGAAAACCAGTCTTAAAGACCTCAGTGATTTGCCTCAGTGATGTGGTATAAAAAGCACAGCCTTAGCTGGGTGTCTCAGTTGGTTGCGGGTTCGATTCCAGTCAGGGCACAGAGCTAGGTTGTGGGTTCGATCCCCAGTCAGGGCCCATGCCAGAGGCAACTGATTGGTGTTTCTCTCCCTCATCCATGTTTTCCCTCTTTTTCTCAATTCATTCATCTCTCTATAAAAAGATCAATAAAAACATATCCTAAGGTGAGGATTTAAAAAAAAAAAAAACATACAGGCTTCACAATTATACTGAGGTTCTATTCCAACTCCACCATTTCTAGTTTTTAAAAATTGGGGGGAGGAGGGAAGAGAATGTTTGTGAAGATTAATGAATATAACGAAGTAAGTTACCTGACACTTATGGCTGAAGTCATCCAAGGTTTCCCAACTAGTAACTAAATTCAGGACTTAAGTCTTGGCACATTTTCCTGTGTCAGGCACTCTCCCCAGGCTTTGGGAAAGGAGATGTAAATAAAATACTCACTGAAAGCTTCCCTGTTGTAATGCAACAATAACTGCTAAATAATAGGAGTGCACAGAGTACTACAGGAACTTATGGAAAGAGTTCTTGAACCTGTACAGGTCAAGAAAAGTTTCCAAAATGAGTTGGCTCTGGGCTTGAGTCTTGCAAGACTAGCAGGCCTTTAGCCAAGGGGAGAAGGGAGTTCCTGGTAAAGCAAATATCAAGTAAAAAATAAACAAAGAACAAGAAATTTGGTGTAAGGTAGTTTCTTCAGCAACAGTGCTAATGATTGTTTCTCAAGAAATGAAGAAACTATAGGAGATCTAACCTGTCAAAAATTATGTAATTTTTTTTGTATGTGTAGGTGGGTTTTTTAAAATATATTTTATTGATTCTTTACAAAGAGGAAGGAAGAGGGATAGAGAGCCAGACATATCGATGAGAGAGAAACATTGATCAGCTGTCACCCGCACACTTCCCACTGGGGATGTGCCCTCAACCAGGGTACATGCCCTTGACCAGAATCAAACCCTGGACCTCTCAGTCTGCTGGCCAACTCTATCCACTGAGCCAAACTGGTTAGGGCTGTTTTTTTCTGTTTTTTGTTTGTTTGTTTGTTTGTTTGTTTGTTTTTAATATATTGAGTTCAGAGAGGAAGGGAGAGGGAGAGAGAGACAGAAATATCAAGGATGAGAGAGAATCATCAGTTGGCTATCTCCTTCACCCTACCCTCCCCTCCTTCTCTCCTCTCCCCCACTGCTGGGGACCGAGCCCTCAACCCAGGCATATGCCCCTGATCGGAATTCAGTTCACAGAGCAATGCTTTACCCACGGAGCCAAACCAGCCAGGGCTATGTGATTTATTATACCAAATGCAGTGCCTTTTATGCCTTCTTCACAGCAGGGAGGCTGTGTGCAAGAGAAAAAAATAAAAGTAAGTAACCTAGAATGTTAAGGTTGGCTGACCCAGGCATTTTCTGCCAATAAGAGAGTATACACGAAACAAAATTAGTATCAAGCGTTTGCTTGGTGTATACTCATTCTTTCATTATGCAAAATATCATTGAGCGCTCACTCTCTTCCAGAACACTGCAAGGGGCAGAGGACACAGTCTAGTGATCTAAGGGGAGAGAGACTTAATAATTAAGATATTATTCCATAATACGACCTGAGAAATAAAGGAATTCAGGTGTTTTATGAACTCTACAATTAGGTACTTAGCCTAGACCTGAGATTAAGACTCAAAAACTTCTAAGTAGCCGGAACCGGTTTGGCTCAGTGGATAAAGTGTCGGCCTGCGGACTGAAAGGTCCCAGGTTCGATTCCGTTCAAGGGCATGTATCTTGGTTGCGGGCACATCCCCAGTGGGGGGTGTGCAAGAGGCAGCTGGTCGATGTTTCTCTCTCATTGATGTTTCTAGCTCTCTATCCCTCTCAATTCCTCTCTGTATAAAATCAATAAAATGAAGGAAAAAAAACTTCTAAGTAATGCCCTGGCCGGTATGGCTCAGTTGGTTGGCTGTCATCCCATGCATGGAAAAGTTGCTGGCTCCGCTCCTAATCAGGGCACATGCAGGTTCAGTCCCCGGTAGGGGGCATGCTCCCTCTCCCTGCCTCTCTCTCTCAAAATCAGTAAAAACATTTGAAAAGAAAACTTCCAAGTCTGCTACTTCTCTCACTCTCAGAAGTTAACCTTGTTCTTCTACTTCAGAGG